AATACAGCTGACTCCCCCACCAAAATAACCACCAGCCACCCTTGAAGCCTAATGCCTAATATGTCATCCCGGTTTGCCACGCCTACCAGCGATCCCTTTGGATCCTGTTCAGAAGAGTTTCAGTTCCATCCTCTTAACTGTCTTCCCATTGTTCCACTGAGACCCAGCTGGGAGCATGAGGATGGCGCTCTGGCCTTGTCCTCCCGATCCCTGATTTGCAGCTGGCAAGGGCAGGTGGAAATGATTTAAGCCCTGGACTAAAGGGGACTGGTGAGGGTGAGCTATGAAAAAGAGAGGCAGGCTGCTGAACTTCTTGAGAGGCGGGTCCAGGCCAGGGGAGACAGAATTCTGTCATGCTTACCCTTCACTGCAGCAAATCAATTTGTGATGGCTCAGGGCTGTGGGAGCATTGATCTGGGGCGCCCTCCCCTGCATGGGGACTAACTTTGATACAGGCTAGAAGTCTGAGTGTGTTTTGCTTTTTCCAATTGTGTGGCACTCAGACCTGAGGACGTTTGAAACTTAATCACAGGCTGTTAGGAGCTGGGCACCCGACAGCCTACAGTGCTCGGCCTCTGTTCTCTTTCAGCTATCTCACGTGAGAGGGCAGTGGAGCTTCTTAGGAAATGTCTGGAGGAGGTAAGTAGCTCCCAGGGGATCCGGAAGGAATGTTTTGTCTCAGTTTGAAGTACCATTCCTGTTCTTGGTTGCTTGTTTCTGCTCCTTGCCAGACACTTCTCCACTGGCCAGTTGGGAAGTTGCTACCAGTGGGGAGGTTGTAGTAATGCACTTACATATTAGTTTCTCCCACCGGTCACCTCCGCGTCAATGTCAGTTTCATTGATTTAATTATTTTCCTTTCTGGTTAATCTAGACTAGTAGTTCTCAAAATTCACTGTGTATCACCTCGGGGAAACTTTCCTTATCCCTGGTAGGCCCCAGCACCCAATTCTAAATCATCTGTAGATAGGTAGAAACTGAGTCTCTTGTTTTAACTGGCAACTAAGTGATTTTTTTTTCTTTTTTTTTCTTTTTTTTTTTTTTGAGCCAGGGTTTTTCTATGTAGCGCCTGGAACTAGCTCTGTAGATCAGACTGGCCTGAAACTCCGGGTGATCCACCCTACTCTGCCTCCCAAGTGCTGGGATTAAAGATGTCTGCCAGTGCATCTGGCTAGGCAACCAAATGATTTTAATGCAGGGTGATAATCAGGCCCCAGCACCCTGTGCACTCCGCTGTGCCACCATAAAGCCTACTCCCATAACATTGCATTTAGGTCACCGTAGAAAGCTCCTGAGAATTTGGATCAGAAGGGGAGAGATCTTTGTTGTGGGAGGTCACAAACCCAAAGTCTCCTCATAGAAAGAGTGTAGAATACAGGGTAAGCTGGCAGAAAGTAGCCTCGTTAGACATGTCATTCTTTTTCCTTGTGACCTAAGGATGAACTTGAATGAACTGTCTGGTGGGCGAGGGGACAGGAGCAGAGGAGGGCATTGGCAGCACTGTCGGTTTCAGCTGCCTCTTGTATAACTCTGTCATTTTAGACCACGGTGACCTCATCCCTCTTCCTCTTTTTAAATTTCCCTTCAGGGGAGCTGCTGAGAATCAGTCGTGGGTTTCCTAGCCATCCAGCTGATGGACAATATTACCCACAGATATCCTAAGGGAGGGAGGGGTAGCCAGTACAGTATTACCGACAGATATCCTAGTAGGAAGGGGTAACCAGGACAGCCTTAAGCTGGACTGCAAGAGACGGGCATAGCTTGTTCCAGGATGTTCTCTGGACATGATTCCCACCGTCTCTGCAGCTGCACACACACACACACACACACAGGGAAGTGACTACATAAACTATTAGCACCTAGGGCGTCCTGTCCGGGTCCAGAGTCTGTTCTTAGATGAGCTCCTTGCTGGCTTGGTATCTGGAGACTTTCTTAGAGGCAAGTGTATTCTTGTAGACCAACTGGTAGCAGACTGTGAGGATACACATTGGATTGTCTTGTGTACCTGCTGACTGGCCAGAGGCAGGCTCACAGCTGCATTTCCCAGGTCATGGTCACCGCCTTCCAGTCAGCATCCAGCTCCTGTCTAGACATTCCTCAGTGACATGGTACCAGCTGGCCAGTTCCCCAAGAGGAGAGGCTTTACACTTGTCCCCTTAGCTGAGGGCAGTGAATGTCTGCTCACTGGTTTCCTTCGTCTCTCTGCAGCTCCAGAAGCGCTTCATCTTGAATCTGCCTACCTTCAGCGTTCGGGTCATTGACAAAAATGGCATCCATGACCTGGAGAACATCTCCTTCTCTAAGAAGGGCTCCTAACGTCTCGTTCTTCCTTCCACTCATCAGGGGACTTTTTTGATAGGCTCCTTAAATTTTTTTCTACTCTTGGCGTGCACTCTTGATAAATGGTTAATTCAAAATAAAGCTGACAATACTAAATTGAGCTTCTGGTTTTGGTCTCAGTTTGTCTAACATTGTATAGAAAGGAACAGGTAGGAAGGTTTTCTTCTTGTCAGATGCGCTCTCCCTCTTTAATAATCTAAGTGGTTCACAGCCCCACACTCTTTTCTGTCCATCTTCCATCTAGCTCTGTCAGTCTTTGCTTGTTAATGTCTTCTCTCTGAAGCAGTGGTTCTCTTTGCCTTTAAACCTAAATCTTTTTTTGTTGTCTGAAATGGTGGCGCACACCATTAATCCCAGTACTTGAAAGTCAGAGGCTGGAGGAATTCCTGTGAGTTCGAGGCCAGCCTGGTCTACAGGGCAAGTTCCAGGACAGGCTCCAAAGCTACAGAGAAACCCCGTCTCAGAAAAAGAAAAAGAAAAAAGGGGAAAAAAAAAGAGATACAAGTATACACAGGGTAGCCCAGAGGTAGAATACCTATACCTGCTCAACAAGTTCAGGCGCTGGCTTTGATCTGCAGCATCGCACAACACAAAAATAAAGGCTATTCATACCTGAGGGGTTTGTTTTGTTTGTTTGTTTTTTAGGTCTTTTGATTTTTTTTAAAGGAGCTTTTTATTTTAAAAAATTAATGTGTTTATATGTAACTCAGACTTGGGCAGTCGGGTTTGCGTCATTGGTCACCAAGTGCCTAATGAGCTATCTCACTGTAAATCCTAGGATGATCTGGAGCTTACTCTGTAGACCAGGATGGCCTTCAACCCACAGAGGCCTGCCTCTGCCTTCTGAATGCTGTGTCTTAAAGGCATTTGACACGGTACCCAGGTAAGTCTTTTCCTGAGGTAAAGACTCATTGCATATGTGTAGTCCAGGCTGTTTTGGAAATTGCTATGGTGACCAGGCTGACCATAAACTCATGATCCTTGTGCCTCAGCCTATTTTTAGAGGCCAGCAAGATGGTTCAGTAGAGAAAGGCTCTTGCCACTAAACCCGAGTTCAATCTCTGGGATTCACATGGTAGAAGGAGAGAACCAGCTTCTAAAAGTTGCCCCTAACCTCCATGTGGCTCCATGTGTGCCACACCCACACACTAAAATGTGTAAATAAATGTAAAAAGATGAGACTCAGTGTGGTGGTTTACACTGAAGGCAGAGGCAGAAGGATCTGAGTTCTAGGCCAGCCAGGGGTGCGTGTGTGTGTGTGTGTGTGTGTGTCATCTCAAAAAAAAAATTTTGTAAGTGTTCTCTTACACTTATTAGAAAGTGTTTTGTGCCAGTGCTTACAAATATACCTTATTCTTGTGAACAGTTATGTTATATTCCCTCAAACAGATAAACCACAGGTTGTTAACCAGACAGCTACATCCCCTTCCCCCCAGTATATGTATTTCTCCACTGAAACAGTGGTCCTGTGTGGGTGTGTTTGTATTTGGAACCAGGGACTCAGACTCATGCACTCACTTTACCACTGCCCTACATGTGTTCCTGGTGCTCAGAAAGACCAGAAAGAAGAGCATCAGATCAGAGCTGGAGTTAGGATGGTTTTGAGCCTCCATCTGGGTGCTGGGAATGGAGCCTAGGTCCTCTGAGAGAGCAGCCAGTGCTCTTGACTGCTGAGCCATCTCCAGCCCCAAACAGTAGTGCTTACGCTGTTTGTATCAGAATAACCTGAAGATGTTTTCTTTTGTGGTGAAATTGATTGCGCTGCACTCCAGATTTTAAAATGCTTTGGGGTTTTTTGGTTTTTGGGTTTTTTTTTAATTTTTATTTATTTGGTTTTTTTGTTTGTTTGTTTGTTGGTTTATTGTGACAGGTTTTCTCTGTGCAGTCCTGGCTATCTTGGAACTTCATCCATACCAGTCTGGCCTTGAACTCAGAGATCCACTTGCCTCTGCCTCCCAAGTGCTGAAATTAAAGGCAAGGCGTGTGCCACCACACCCAGCTGGATGTGGGAATTTCTTTAAGCTTCCCAAATTCTTGTCTTCTGTCTTGACAGAAAACCCCTGAATTGAGTTCTCCTCGGAGCTGTGACTCTGAAATCTAAGTTTGTACTCTAGCCCCTTAGGATTTGATTTTTGTTTATTCCTTTTTGGTGTTTAGAGATAGACTCTCATGTAGCCTAGGCTAGCCTGGAAATCCTGATTCTCCACCTCCCAGGTGCTGGGATTACACGTGTGCACAGCAATGCCCAGTTTACTGTAGGGCTTAATGAAACAAACTAATTGGTCCTGCTCTTGTGGTTTGTACCTGTTGGGGTAGAACCTGCCTTTTTACATCTGATCACTGCATAGACCAAATAGGCCCAGCAAGTCACAGTACATAATACACGAACCACCTTCACTTGACACACACACAGCATGCCAATGTGACAAGGCGTGGGGACTCCTGCCATCACGTCCAGAAGAGCCTGCTGTTGTCTAACTACCTCCCTTTTCTTCTCCTCTTACTCAGAGCCCTTCATGAGCAAACACACCCTTCATCACTGCCCAGGTGGACACATTGGGACGTTGGGTCAGTAGAATGAACCTCCAAGCCATTAGGATAAATAACTCATGCTGGACAATTTCAAATCTTCAAATTTAATTACATTATACATAAATAAATAGGACAGACAGCAGGTCTGTGGTGTGCAGCCTGGGTTCAAGTTCTGTGATTTGTGCTGTACCATCTCTGTTCCTCGGGGGCCTCTCCTGCCCACTCCTCCCTAAGAGCAGGAAGTATCCAAAGAGCCCACTGGGACCTCCTGCTATCCCCCTTTCTCTGGGGCTAGAGGATTCTGGAGTGGAGGTCACTAACTCCTCAGTAGCACCTCAGACTTGTTAATGGCTGCCCAGGCATCTCGGTGGGAAGGGTTCTGCCCCCTGAACCAGACTTTTCCATGACAGTTTCCTGTCAGCCTTACCAGAAACCTTCCCTGACCCAGTCAGGCTTCTGGATAAAAGTTCTCTCTGGCCTGAATGGAATTCCACCTGTTAGTCTTTGCAAGGCCCCCGCAGCAGCCAAGGCCTCGTCTCATCGGGAGTCACTTCACTACAGAACAAGAGACAGTTACTTCCGATGCTTGGCATCCTTCTCTGAAGCCTTGGTGTCTCCGTGCCCGCTGCCCGCGCTGCTTAGAAACATCTTGTCTAGTCCTTTGAGCGATTCTAGCAGGTAGTTCTGGAAGGCAGTGAGGGCAGCACAGATGGCAGGTCCCCCGAAGCCGTGAGTGATAAGACTGAAGTGTGTCAGACAGCTCTGTACCCCAGGGTCCAGGATGAGCGCTGGACGGCTGTTGCCCAGTGGGGAACGGTCCTGAGCCATCAAGTCTGCAAACTCCTTGCAGATCTGCCTGGTGGGAAGAACAGTCAGAGGTTAAAGAACAAGGTTCCAAACCCAGCAGAGGGCCTACTTGCTGACTTTTTTTTGAGACAGGGTTACTCTATGTAGATCAGGCTGGCCTCAAACTCACAAAGATCTACCTGTCTCTGCCTTCCAAATGCTGGATTTAAAGACATGGACCACTTCACCCAGCAATTTACTGGATTCTTTATTTACACTATCCATATAATTTGACCTTCCTGACAACCTACAAGTAACAATGATACTATTTTGCAAAAACTGAAACTGACTTTCACAGATGTTAGCTCAGCAGCTCAGCGCTGCACACTTGTGAGCAACTCATGCTAATACCTTAATTTCTCTCCCTTAGACGTCCTGTCTGCCTAATGCATGCAGCTCAGCTGCCTATTCCCTTAAACTTTCTATGGTCCCTTCCACCCAAACAGTGCTTCACAGAAGCTTGTCTGTGAAATTAAGAGAACAACCCAGAATCTGGGTTACATAATTAAAATAGCAGCAAATATTGATGTACCATATCCACTGTATACGTCATCTTACGTCAGCCAACAAATCTATACCGTTATCCTCATCATATGGTTTCAGACAGATTAGGTGAACTAATCTGCATATGTCATTTTACATCATCCAACAGCTCTATACTGTCATTCTCATCATATGGTTCCAGACAGATGAGTAGCTAAGATTTGTGAAGCATATGTGTGACTCAGATCAGAGAATCCATCATCACTCAACCCGTGTCTGGCCAAGTATCTTAGACAAACCAAGGTCCCAAGAGCACTCAATGCTCTTGAGTTTATAGTAGCCATGAATTATTTCATGGCTACTTCATAACTGTAATTGCTACTGTTATGTATCATGATGTAAATATCTGATATGCAGGCTGATATGTGAACCCCCAGTGGGGTCACAACCCACAGGTTGAGAACCACTGCCATAGGCGCCATTGGTACCTTTGTGCTCCTTTACCATGTGGAGAACACAGCAAAATCAAGAACTGACCCATATTCTTGAATGAAGCGGGCTCCTTTTGGATAGGCTCCTCAAACCACAGGAAGAGGCCTTCCAGGACTCCATAGTAACCTATGAGACTGAATCCTTTGCTGCTTAAAGGAGGAAAGCCCCACGTGGAGGGCAGAGTTGTGATTTGAAGGCCAAGCCCATAAAATCAGCTGAACTAGAAGTTTGGTCCAGACTGGGAGGTCCTCAAAGGCATCTGGATTTAGCCTGCGGAAGAGGATTCTGAGCTCTGCATCTCTTTTAGCCCTTTCTTCCCACCTCTCAATGAGACTTGCCTTCCAAATGAATGTCTGTAGCCTTCTGGGTTTTATATATTGAAATCTTTCCTGAGATACAGATGAAGATAGAGTCTTTGAGAGGTGATGAAGTCATTGGGCTAGAACCCTATAGACCAGTGGTCCTCAACCTTCCTAACACTGTGACCCTTTTAATACAGTTCTCGTGTTGTGGTGACCACCCCATCATAAAATTATTTCATGGCTACTTCATAACTGTAATTGCTACTGTTATGTATCATGATGTAAATATCTGATATGCAGGCTGATATGTGAACCCCCAGTGGGGTCACAACCCACAGGTTGAGAACCACTGCCATAGACGCCATTGGTACCTTTGTGCTCCTTTACCATGTGGAGAACACAGCAAAATCAAGTGCTGTTTGTATGTTAGAAAACAGGCCCTCACCATATACAGATGCTGTCCTGGTCCTGAACAGCCTCCAGAACCATGAGAAGTGAGCTGCTACCCAGCTGAGGGTATTTTATTATAGTAACCCCTGGCTAAGAGGAGAAGACCTGAAGTAGCAGCATGCAGTCGGGGGTGAGGGAGGTGGCAGTGGGACCTGCAGAGGGCTCAGATATGGCCTAAGGACTTAAGGAGAAAGGTCACAGAAGCAGAATAACCCCTGTGGACCCGTGCCAGGGCCTGGACTGGTCATGCCATGAAATCATAAGGAAGTGTAGCACCCATATGTGGGCTGCAAGCCTGCACATGACACTTTTTAATGTGTGCATATAATAGCTGTTTACTTGTGGTGTCTGTATGTGCCCTTGGAAGCTTGTGGGAGTGTTCATCAAAGTCTAAATGCAATGAAGATATCTACAAATACTCATGTGTGCCTGTATGGCATGTACAAGTGTTCCATGTGAACTTCAACAAGGAATCCAGCTGCCATGTATGGTGCTGTATATGCTGTATGAACATGTGTAGTCAAAGGTCTGACACGTGTATCTGCGTTGCATCCACGTTTGCCATGCGCAATGCCGTCTCACTCACTTGGCAGCCAGCAGCATGCTCTTGCGGCTGTGCAGTTCCCCAGGGTCAGCGTGCTGTCGGCATAGGTACTCAGCAGCTGCCTTGGCTGGAAACTCCGTCTCACAGACATAACCAAAGTCCCGGGCCAGGTGTACGGCTTCTCCTGGGGAAAGAAGGGATGTTACTGGTGTACCTCTGAAGACCAGAGCCTAGCCTTGAATGTCTTAACCCCTGGCTAAGGAGTGTCCAGCTTCTGGAGATGCCCTCTCTGTTTTTCTTTTCTTTTCTTTTTTTTTTTCTTAGTTCCAGCTTCATGTCCATCACCCTTGGCTCAGAGATGGAGCTGGGACCAATATGTATCCCAGAACCAGAGTCTAGAGTCAGCAACCTCTAGGGAAGAGGGGTGCACCCCTCACCTACTTACCATATCCAAATACTGACCACTTGCCCTCCCCTACCACACCCAAGTAACTCTACTGTGTGTGCACAGAGATGCACAGACACATAAACAAAAAGGGTTAGCTCCAGAATTTCCCACAGATACCAAAATAAGTGGGCACTGAGATCCCTTACATAAAATGGCATGGTGTTTGCATATAAACCTACTTGTATCCCCCTGTATGTTACAAATTGTCCCTTGGTGGCTTAAAATATAGATGCTTTGTATGTGAAGAGCTATGTGCATTATTGGTAATAATGACCAAGAATGTTTGCATGTGTGCAGCACAGGTGCAACTTTTCCAAATATTTTGAACCATGGGTAATTAAATCCTCAGATGAGTTGACTGTCTATGCATCTCACACATATACTTCTTTACACATGACACACTGAGTACATGTGCTGGTACAGCAATATTCACGGGCATAGCTAAAGGATACCCTCCTACACTAGATGACATGTCCCCTCCCATTCGTATGCATCATCCTCAGGCCTTACTCACCTTCCACCAGGGAGGTCAGCAGCGTCACATTAGCTGCCTTCCGGCGGCCAGCTGGCAGGTTGAGCCCGATCTTCTCCAGTCGTTCCCGCAGACACCGGCCCCCATTCTTGGACTTGGCCCTTAACATACACAGACAGAGACAGATACACAGCTATGAAGATGAGAGCCGCCTACAGGCTAAGTGTCTCCCAAGGACCTTTCTTGTTCGCTATACCAGCCCCTGTTAAGGCTTGGGTGTGGCCATGACCTTGGGGTCTCTGAGCAAATCCCAACCTGTCCCTACTTCCATTATGCAGTCAGGATTGGATAAGAAGCAGCACCCCACTGTAAGAGCCTTCCTTCTCCCCAGGCCTCTCAATAGCAGGGGCAGCCCAGGGTGGGAAGGACAGGGTAGCATCTGAGGCTCCTTCCCCCACCTTAGCACATTTGCTGGGGACACATAAAACTGTGTACAGAGACACACGGGGATGACAAATACAAGGAGGCACAACTATATACAAAATCAGCTACATATACACAGGTGAACCCACCCTCAGTGTCTCCAAGAACATGGAGACACATAAATAACATTAGAGACATACAGACATGAACACCAAGGAACATGCAGAGACACATGTGCACATTGGGATCCCAGAGATGTGCACACAATCCCAGGGACTTAACACAGGTCTATTCAGGACATTAAGCGATCAAGAGTTAGAGGACACCCCTCGTAGCACTAATGTGCCCACACACACACGGAGGTACATACATGTAAACAACTAGCTGCATAGAAAAAAGGAAAGAGGGCTGGAGAAATGGCTCAGCGGTTAAGAGCACTGGCTGCTCTTCCTAGAGGTCCTGAGTTCAATTCCCAGCAACCATGTGGTGGCTCACAACCATCTATAATGAGATCGGGTGCCCTCTTGGCTTACAAGCAGGATACTGTATAACTAAATAAATATTTTTTTAAAAAAAGGAAAAAAAATTATGAGAGAAGAATAAAGAAAAAGAAAAAAGAAGCGGGACAGTGGTGGAGCATACCTTTAATCCCAGCACTCTGGAGGCAGAGGAAGGTGGAGCTCTGTGAGTTTATGGCCAGCCTGGTCTACAGAGCAAGTTCCAGGACAGCTAGGGCTACACAGATAAACACTGTCTTGGGGGGGAGAGGGGGAGCCAATAAACCTGTAGGTGCACATGCAGTTGCACATGTATGTGCAGGGAACCCACTGTAGGCCACACATTCCCAACTAATGCAGAACCTCACCCTGGTAACACCCACTCTTGGCCATCATACAACACATACACATGTAGTCCTTAGATCATTACAGCTTATCCCTGAAGCAGATCCCCTGCCGAGACACAAGAACATGCAGAGAGAAAAACATGGCCCATTGTGCTGTTCACTCCAAACTCACACCACTGAGGCCTGTGCTGCCCTGGGGAAGAGCTAAGGGAAGAGCCACCCTTCCCAGAACCAGCCCTGCCCAGCCTTGCTGTAGGCGAATCTTTTTCTTTGTCTTCAGTCTCTGCCCCTGCTCTATCTCAGACCTTATGGGAGGTGCTGGGACCTCGCCACCCACCCCAGGCCATGTACCATACTGAGTCCCTAGGCACTGCTCTATTAGAGAGACTGAGGCGGGGTTGATGTCGAGGCCTGGAGTGAGGCTGTGAGGTCTGAAAAGACTAAAGATTTTGGCTGGGGTGCTGTGTAGGGTTGTGGGCTAGCCTTCCTACCTTCGGAGGACACCCCCCAGGAGGGAGGCGTTGAGGCACTCTGGAGGTGAGAGTCGCCGCTGCACCTCCCCCACGGTCACCTTGTACTTGGATGTTGAGCTGAGCAAGGACAGCCGGCCAGGCACGGAGCAGAAGACCTCACTGGGGTTGCTGATGCCGCCAACCAGGCTGTCTTTGGCCAGGGAGAGGGCGGAAAGGCTGCCGGCTTTGGAGGGAATGGGGACTGTGGAGCAGAAGCAAGGGGAGAGAGAGAGGGGACACCGAGTCAGCGACCGACTGCAGGACAGGCGTCAGTCAGCTGCTGTGATGCAGGCAGGCTGACGCACCAGCTGTGGATGTTGAAGAATTCCAACACTTTGCAGAGGGAGGGTTCTAATACCCCTGCTTTACAAAGGGAGAAACTGAGGCACGGTGAGATGGAAGTAACAGACCCAAGTAAGTTGATGGGTGCAACTCTGAACCCTGAGCTGTCTGGCTCTTGCCCTGACACCCCCTTCCAGAGTCCACTGGTTCCCTCTTAAAGCCTGGCGCTAGCCAGGTGTCGCCATTATCACAGTTTTTCTCTGGACACGAGGAAATGGACTCCAAGATGAGGCAGGATTCCTGAATCCCTGTGACAGGGTTAGGAAATCTCCCAGATTCCCAAGTCCCCTTCTCTACTATGAATCTCACCCTCTCATCCTAGGGGTTTTGGAGTCCCACGTGCTGGAAACAGGAGGTTAGGGCCCCAAGAGCCCTCCAGCTTTCCCCCTCCCAGGTCCAGAAGACAGGGAATAAGGATCTGTGTGCCCCATAACATCCTCTCCTAAATGTTCTCTGTCACAGAGAATTTTCTATACTCTTGGCTCAGAAAGGAAGTTCTCCTGCCGGATGGTGGTGGTGCACACCTTCAATCCCATCACTTGGGAGGCAGAGGCAGGCAGATCTCTGTGAGTTCGAGACCAGCCTGGTCTGCATAGCGAGATTCAGGTCAGCCAGAGCTGTTCCACAGAGAAACCCTGGGTTGAAAAACCAAAAAATAAAAATAAATAAATAAAATAAAATAAAGAAAGGAAGTCCTCCATGTATTGTTCCCGTCTCCCTTCTTAATTGCAGAGGAAGGAAGGGGCCAGGCACAAACTTCTTTGGAAACCTCTTTGTTTCCTCATTCAAGGACATGAGGCCTTGGTGGAGAAGGCCTGTGTGTGGTGGGAGTACAAATCCATGGGGAGTCTGGGCTGGAATACTGAGCACCCCCTGCTGTGTGCATTCAGATTATACCTCACCCCTCGAACACTTGGGGCAGTCCATGATGGGGCTGCTGTTCCCATTCTACAGGTGGGAAGACGGAAGCCCAGAAGGTGAGATTGTCTAGCTGGCAGACTGAGCTAGCAGCAAACCCCGGACCAGGGTCTCAAAGGCAGGGCTCTGAGCCTTGCTACTACTGAGAAAATACTTTGCCAGTTCTCTCAAACCAAGAAGTCCTAGACCTCAAGATTACAGAGATTAAAGAGAACCTGATCCCAAGACGGCACAACCCCAACATTTTCCCTCCTGGGAGAACCAACCCTACCTCACTTCAGCCAGAAACCTCTGTAATTCTAGTCTTCTTTGCAACACTCCACAAAGGGCCATGTCTTGTGGCTTCCATTCATTCTTAACCTGTCTGAGAAGCAGGCTCTCCTCCCATGCACACAGACACTTACTTTTTGCCTGAATTTCTACACAGCCCTTGCTCTGGTTCCCCTGCCGTAGTCTAGAGGGTCTTTCTGAACCATGGATCACTCCATAGCCTGCAACCTGCCTGGCTAGCTCCCTGAGAATCAGATCCTAGCCCATAACCAGATAGGATGATGCTCTCTGTCAACGGATGCCAATCACCCCTAGGAAGCTCCTCCTGCAGTTCTGTGGAGCAGCACTGCCGTCTATATCCCCAGGTCAGAAGAAAGAAACTGAAAGTTCAGAGCTCAGATTGACATCATTTACTGAGCAGAAGAGGATCACGCACTCTGGCTGCTGCTGTCAAAGGTCATGTCCTGATCCATCTTTGCCTCCTTCACCCTCCTTTGTGTCCTGGCTCCTGCCTCCTTTTCTGTCTCTCACCTGGTCTTGTACTTGGTTTGGTTTTGGTTTTTGGTTTTTGACTCTTTATTCTTTTGGCACTTTACTCTTTGAGGGGGACCTGCCACCCAGCTCCCAACAATCACACAGAGACTTATTCTTTCTTATAAATGCCTGGCCTTAGGCTTGTTTCTAACCATCTTTCTTTTTTTCTTTTTTGTAGACCCAGGCTGGCCTCGAACTAGCTCACAGAGATTCACCTGCCTCTGCCTCCTGAATGCTGGGATTAAAGGTGTGCACCACCACCACCTGGCCTAGCCAGCTTTTCTTAATTTAATCATCCCATCTACCTTTTGCCTCTGAGTTTTTTTCTTTCTCTATTCTATATACCTTTCTTTATTTCTTACTCTGTGATTTACTATGTGTCTGGATGGCTGGCCCCTGGTGTCCTCCTCTCCTCCTTTTTCCTCCTTTTTTTGCTCCTCTTCTCTTCTTCTCTCTGCCTAGCAGTCCTGCCCATCCCTCTCCTGCCTAGCTGTTGGCTGTTCAGCTCATTATTAGACTAATTGGGTGTTTTAGGCAATCTAAGTAACATAGCTTCTCAAAGTTAAACAAATGTGACCTAAAAGAATGCAACACAGCCAGGTGGTGGTGGTGATGCCTTTAATTCCAGCATTCAGGAGACAGAGGCAGGTGGATCTCAGTGAGTACAAGGCCAGTCTGGTCTACAGAGCGAGTTCCAGAATAAAAAAAAAAAAATGCAACACTCTTGCATCATTAAACAAATGTTCTAGAGCATAAACAAATGTAACACATCTTCAACTAACAGTCTTTAGGCTCTATACTAAAAACGGACCCATAGGAACATAATTTGGGGCACAGCATTAAAAAGTAATGAGCAGAGCATTGGTGGCACACAATGTTAATCCCAGAATTTAGAGGCAAAGGAGGTGGCAGAGGCAGGTGGATCTTGAGTTCACTGAGGCCTGCAGAGTGATTTCCAGGACAGCCAGGGCTACATAGAGAACCCTGTCTCAAACAACCAAAGTAACGAGTGTCTAGAGAGATGGCACAGTGGTTAGGAGCACTGGCTGCTCTTAGAGAGGACCGGGTTCATTTCCCAGGGCGCACATGGCGGCTCCTAGCCATCTTTAACTCCAGTTCCATTGGCTCCAATGTCCTGTTCTGGCTTTCTAGGCTCTGCACTCACATGGCACATGCACAGACAGACAGGAATGCACTCATACACATAAATAAAGATAAATCTTTAAAAGGAAGAAAATGAGACCCTGGCAAGGTGGTGCACACCTTTCAATCCCAGCATTTGGGAAGCAGAGGCAGGCAAATGGGTCTCTGTGAGTTCTGGACCAGCCAGTAATACAGAATGAGACCCTGTCTCAAAATAAAACAAATAAATAGAAAAGAGAAATATGAGATTCATGTCAATATATTCAGTAGTATATAGGGCTTATATATTTTATTTATCCTAATCAGAACTATAGTAATTTCAACATGCAGTCAATATTTAAAAAAATCATTAATGAAGGACCTGGAGAGATGACTTAGTGGTTAAGAGCACTGGCTGCTCTTCTAGAGGATCTGGGTTTAATTCTTAGTACCCCCATGACAGTTCACAACTGTCTGTGACTCCAGTTCCAGGGGATCTGACACCTTCACACCAATGCACATAAAATTAAATAGAATGTTTAAAAATAATAATAGATAAAAATGAGATATATTGCATTCTTTCTTTGTATTTAGTCTTCAAAATCCAATACAGTTTATACATACAGCCTGCCTCCATTCAGGACGGTCACTTTTCAAATACTCACAGTTTTATGCGTTTTGTGGCAAGTGGGCCACCACAGCCCTAGACTTCAAAAGTTGAGTACATACGCTACACCCACAAATAAGGAGAAGAGGGATCAGGAGAGACCCTCGCCTGGAGCAGGCCTCTGCCTGGCCTCTGTCATCAGCAGAACTTGCTCCCCAGGACACAGACATAACATTCTTCTTTCAAGCCCCACCTTACTCAGCCTCGGCTTCAGCACCATTCTGTGGGCAGTTTGCTGCCCCGCTTCCACCTCAGCCCCTTGTATACCCGGCCCCATCCTTACAGCTCTCAATGTCCTTGTCTGTTTCCACAGCCACCTTCCCACCAGCTAGGAGTCTTGGGGGGGAGGGGGGCTCGGCACAGGGAGCCATTGCTGAATGTGGATGAGTGCAGATTTTGGAACTGATGGCTACCATGTAAATGTCTTTTCTTCCCCTAGTCTAGAAGATCTAACCCAGGCCCTCACAATGCTAAGCAAACCCTTTGCCACTGACCTATATTCCTACTTGCCCTTGTATGTATTTACTTAGAAAAAGGTCTTACTAAGTTACTCAGTCTCCTGTGCCACGAAGCCCTGGTGGGTATTTTACATCTTTGTTTATTGTGTGTCCACACGCACTTGCGTGTGTCACGGCATATGTGTGGAGAGCAGAGGCCAACTTTCAGGAGCTGATTCTGTCTTTCTTAGGGATCAAACTCAAATCAGCAGATTTAGAAGCCACCTTTACCTGCTGAGCCATCTCAGTGATTCCTGCTTGTTTGTTTGTTTACTGTTGAGATGGGGTCTCATTATCCCGCTCTGGGTGGCCCGGAACTTGATGTGTAGACCAGGCTGGTCTTGAAATTATAGAGATCCACCTGCCTGTGAGTACTGGGACTCAAGGCATGTGCCACTACACCTGCAATCCTGGGTTGTTGTTTTTTTTTTTTTTAATATAAAGTCATATGTAAAAGATGAAAAAGAGAAGCAAAATCCGTGATGAACAAGATCTCAGAATTCCAAATAAAAGCAGAGCTGCTCTGTTCCTGCTCTCCCTGATCCCAACCTTGCCCCCGAGGGAGGAAAAGGTTTTCCAGGGACACCAAAACTGGACAAGCAAGTAGGTGCTGCCTCTCCCCACCCGTGTCTCCAGTCTTCTGTGTGTGTGAGAGAGAGCGAGAGAGACAGACAGAGACAGAGACAGAGGGAGAGCATGCAGCTGTGCCTATGTCACTCTGCCTGTATCTCTGTCCTATCCTGAGAGGACCTGGGGTAACAGAGCTTTTCTGTAGTTTGGTTTTTGTGGTCCCATAGCTCTAAACACATCTGTCATAGAAATGGGCATTATATGTTCTATACACCAAACTTG